ATAAAATTGACGTATAAGATTTGGACAGAAAAATTCATACGTCAAATGAATGAAACGAAGCAATCCTTGCTGAAGGAACATAGACTTACTCGGGGCATAGGTCGCCGATTTGAAGAGGTCCTTGTTCACGATCTTGGGAGAGACGATCTCCTTCGTGAGGAAGATGTTGTGGAACCTCTCAACTGAAGCCCCAGTGTTGGAGGCGAGACCCGTTTGAATGTGAATGTACTTGCTCCCTTCACGACGCCATGGCCTCTCATTCTCCTCTGCCGCCGTTTCTTGACCCGAGGAAGCGTTCTTACACCTTGGCATTCTTCCTTTTTGAAATAGATGAAATTTGGCAAAAAAATGGAAGAAATTTGAGAATTTTATGATGAAGATTGAGAAAAATTGAGAGGGGAAGAAGCTAGGGTTTCTCTGATTCGAAAAGAAGGAATGGCGAAGAAGACGAAGACTCGGTGTGATATAAGGCAAAAATCGACTATTAATCGATTAATCACAAGTATTTAATCGATTAGGGAACACAGCCGAGGCTAATCGATTAAGTTAAGTTTGTTAATCGATTAGAAGTAAGCAGAACCAGACGTCTCTTTTCAAGATATTAATCGATTAAACAGAGATGGTTAATCGATTAATATGGACAGATGAGTCTAATCGATTAATTGAACAAAATTAATTGATTAAAAGGTGAATCAACGCTAAAGACGTTTTAGAAACGAGTAATCGATTAAGAAAGATAGAGGCGACCAATCGATTTCTCTTTGAGGAATAATCGATTACAGCTTTGTTGAAAAAATCAAGTCCAATTCGGTTGAATACCAAGGGAAGAGATATGTACAATAAAAGCCCTGCAAAAAGAATTTATCGCGCCTCCGACGCTCAAATTAGTATAGTCAATAAAAAGAATGAATTAGTTCATAGAGATATCCAAAATGCCAAGTTCGTTCCGAATGTGGAAGAAACTCTCCCTACTAAGGGGTTTCGTGAAAATGTCGGCCAATTGATGTTTCGTTTCAACAAACTCAATTGTGACATCTCCCTTTTGGACGTGATCTCGTATGAAGTGATGCCTAATTTCTATGTGTTTAGTACTGGAGTGAAGAAC